TATCTATCTATCTATCTATCTATCTATCTATCTATCTATCTATCTATCTGGAAGTCATGGGTAGGGGGGATGTATACATTTCCTCTTCCAAAGGGCACAGATTCTATGGATAACCCATCTCCTCTTGGATGAGACGCAACCAAAATGTTGGCCCCATGACAAGTCCTCAACTGGGAAAAGTTCAATTATCTACAAGCAGATAGCTTTCTTCAGGCTAGGCAGGTATGCTCTCACATTAGTCTCACCAGGCTGTACGCTGAGAAGCTTGTATAAGCCCTCTTCTCCCCTTCCTTCATGGTCATACAAGTGCCTGGGGTGACCAGAAGGGTCGCATGATCCTGGATCTGGAGTTACTGGCAGTTGCAAACCACTCAATGTGGGTGCTTGAAGCTGAGTGTGTGCTCATAGGCTCAAGCCATCTTCTCTCCAGCCCGAGCGATGTTCTTAATAAAGGAAAGATAGCCTACATGCTGCACGTTTCCTGTCTGAAATAGTGTAAGACAGTAGTAAGAGGGCAAAGGGGAATTCTACATATGAAAACGAACCTACTGGCAGCCCCATGCGAAAAGTCCTAGGGTCTACATCATGTGACTCTTCTCAAGCCTTGGGAACAATGACCCTGGTCCCCTCCAGGGTCTCATATAGACAGGCTAGCCTGAGCATCTGCCAACCTCCTCCTGGGTGCTGCAGTTAATGGCTTGTGCCACCACGCTGGCCCAATGCACGTTCCTTGATAACTTACTCTCTGCTCTTAAGAGCTTTCTCTACCCTTTCTGTGTTTCTTTATAATCTTTTCAAGGTCATGGGAGTTCCTTTCTTTCCATATTTCACCTGTGACTTCAGGTCATCTTTTACCTTTTTAACTTAATTGTAGTTAACTTTCTTCTACTATTTTGAGTCATTAACAAATGCTCTTTAGCAGGTAGGGCCCCAGTACTCATGAATCTGAGATAGGAGGACCGTGTGTTTTAGTCTACTCTGAGTTACGTAGGAAGATCTCAAAAACCAGAAAAAGTCAAGTAAATCATTCCCCATGATGTGTGTGTGTGTGTGTGTGTGTGTGTGTGTGTGTGTGTGTGCAAGATCTTCTACCCCTGACCACTCCCAATTGCCTTGAAATTGCATTTCTTGCTTATACTTTCTGAGACAGAGCTACATATCTCTGGGCAAGACCAGAAGAGCAGAGGCTAACACCTTAAGAGAACAAAACTGTTCGAAGCTGCCCTGAGATCAGCGAAGGATTATCCGTCTGCTTTCTGTTCTTACTTCTTGATGGTGTTCCCATGAAGAGGGTGGGTGGAGTCAGGCCTCCCAGTACCCATTGCTTGGTTGAGGTAATTTACTTTCCTTCTCTGGCCCGGGTATTGTGTCAAAGCTTAAAAGCCGTTGTGAGGATGAAGTGGCACTTCATATCCCAGGGATGGTCCTGAGGGCACTATGGGATGTCTTTTCCCCAAGCACTTTCCAAATGTTGAGACAGGCAGCTTAACTCTGCTGTGTAGCAGGGGGTGTGATAGGGGTGGAGTGTGTGTGTATGTGTGTGTGTGTGTATGTGTGCGTGGACTGAGCAGTCTGTTTTAGAAGACAGTCATTTCATCTATAAAATGAACACAGACTTTGAATACTAACAACCATGAATAATAAATAATGTTAGTAAAAGCAGAGTTAACAGCCAGTAAAGACTGACTGTTGAGCCCTTAGAATAAGGGTAGATATGATTTCCCTCTGCAGTCGAAGCAACTGAAATCCTGGTCAAGGTCATAGACCCAGCAAGGAGTGAACAGAGGCCTTACTGTGCTCGACTCTGAAGTGTGTGCTTCTCCTCTGCCTTTCTCTCATACGTGACATCAGTGTCATGCGTTTCTTTCTCCTGCAGATCCCAAGGATGGTAAAAGTTGTCGAAGAAAGCTCACCTTACTTTAAAATCATCAGCCCCAAAGACATCGGCCACAAGGTAGCCCCTGGAGTGCTATCTATATTCCGAATCCTCTTCACTCCCGAGGAGAACAAGGTAATCACAACACTGGCAAAAAGACGGATCATGTGCCTCTAGAACTTTGTAGTTCGACTCCAAGCACTCACGGGGCTGCCAGTGTTCATGGGAGCATCCGTGGTATTTGAAGTGGGCTGTGGTGGTGGTAGCGGTAGGGAGGGCATCTTGGTGGCTCTTGATGGTAGTAAACCGGTGATGGTGTTTTGCTGGTGTGGTAGTTGTATTAGCCTGGGGTTTTGTTGGTGGTTTTGTTATTGTGGTGGAACACCTGAGGGTGAGCATGTGGGAAAAAAATGCATCTAGCCCCCCGTCTTAGAGGCTGACACTCCAAACAGCACAGGTCTAAGTCCAGCAAGCCCCACCGCTCCCTTAGCTGAGTCACCTCATGGTGGATGGCATCATTTACAAAGGAGAGATGGGATGGTGATCAAGGAAGCTACAACAAGCAGAAGGACCAACAATAGCTTCCTCCACACGCACTGCCAGGCTCCACCTCTTAAAGGGAAACCACCTCCCAACACCATTATGCTGAATCCCAGAGGACAAGCCATGAACAAAACATAGCAGTAGGGCTGGTATTGGTGACACTGTAGATGACATTGTTAGTAGATATGGTGGTAGTGAGAGGAGAGAGGAGGGAGGGAGATAGGAAGGAGGGGTGCCGTACTACTGGCGATAAGCAGAGAGCTGTTGTATCCGTGAGCCCTAAGTCGCTAGGCTGTGAGAAAGCCTGATCCTGCTGGACGTTCCCTGCTAGCCTCTTACCCAACAGGTTTATACTATATACTGTCAAAGGGCCAACAGTAAAGAAAAGGTATATCACTGGATACAGTGAGCTGAGAAAAAGAATAAAGACCATGGCTTTGGATGTTTGGGAAACTAGTGGGTCATATATCTATCCTCCCAGAATTCCAACCTACCTGAAAAAGAGACCTAAATTCAAACATTGATCACACTGGACCTCAGCCATAGCAAAAACATTGCCAGGGCTCCAGGTCGAAATGAAGTTCTCCATAAAGGACTGACTTACCTTAGAGCCCCCCTCAAACACAGCAGGGAAGGAAGAGCTAACACCGGAGTTCTACCTGGTCAGCTGACCCTTGTCTGCACACAAACAGCCAAGGAAGAGCCTGCACACAAAAAGATAAGGCCACTTTCCCTCAGCACCACCTGCAGGCTCTTCTAGGTCACAGGAACCCCAGTTTTACCTTGGCGCAAGGATGCCGGAGTCAGAGGGTGGCTCCCCTCCCAGGGCAGGATTGTTGATTAGGTTTCCTTCTTTTGGAACCCAACTTGGGGCTGAGAAGGGGGAGGGAAGGAATTCACCGCCACGTGAAGGAGGTAGGACAGAAAACATCACTTAACTGAACATGAACAACAGGCTTGGCTGTCAGCATAGGTGGCGATGGAGGAATGGTTTCCAGGTGCCATCATCCCTTTCTGAGTGGCAGTTGCTGGGGGAGGAACAATCATTCTCTTTTGAGGATATGGCCACCGATAGGCTTCCTATACTCCAGGGATGTCCCCACACCTGTCCATATATGGGCAGTGCTAAATGGACTTAAAAGGGGGGGCGTGAAGTTGGGAGGGAGCAGACTGGAAGAGATGTGTAAGGGCGTGGATGGAGAAATAAGGGCTAGATATGATCATATCTCCTTATAAGCATGTATGAAATTCTCAAAAACAAAGAAAGCCCTAGAACAAAAAGAGGTGAGCTGAGGATAATGTTAGCAGCATGCAAATGTATGAATGTATGTATAGTATGTACAGTGTGTATGTATATATGATGTATGTATGTATGTATATATGTATAGTATGTATGTATAGTATGTATGATAGTATGTATAGTATGATGTATGTATGTATGTATATATGTATGTATGTATGTATGTATGTATAGTGCCATTGTAGCTGGAATCAATAGATGAACCAGACAAGATGGCTCTGAACCGCCTCTCTGCCACTAATTCTTATTGGGTACTGTTAATGTCATTACCAGCGGTCTCACTACTAATGTGGCCGTGACTCCTTTTCTGCGGGCAGGGGCACAGTCTCCTGTGGGTGGCTTTCTGACATGTCACTGGTCATACTGCTGTTTATCTCTTGGATTGTGTTGGTGGAACTACTGATGTGCTGGGTAACCACTAAACAAGTGAGAAGATGAATCAGCTGTGAGGCTTTTTGCAGTGGATTGTTCAATCAGTCCCCCTCCCGCTGGGCTCTCTACCTGAAGGCTGTCTGTTGAAGAAAAGGAGCCTGGGTTTGGTTGTGGCTGGGGTGTCAGATTCTGGCCCAGTCGTTTTGGGGACAGCAGGTTGTAAGCCTCTGTGTGGCCTAAACTGCAAAGCATGTTTGATTTGGGGACCCACAGTTCCCATTTTTGTCTTCTTCCTTTGCAGGAGAAAATGTGTTTCCTAGGGGAGGGTGATGCACCACCAGCAGGAGCTCTGACTGAGAGAGTTCCACACGGGGCTTCCAGAGTGGAGGGAATACACTAAAGTGTAACCGAGGAGACAGAATAGTCTCTAGTCTTAGGTGTGTGCACTACACAATGATTTCAGTCATCAGAACTGTGTATTTAATATTTCTGTTTTCCAACGCCCATGAATATCTTACTTAGAAACTGTGCGAGGGTAGAGAGGTGAGTGGGTGGAGGGTAGGATGGAGGTAGAGTAAACAGCTGTTGCTTACTGGTGAATCTGGGTGACATAAGGTAGGCTGGAGTCTGTCACGCTATTCCGTTGGCTTCTGTGTCTTTACGTTTCCATAAGCAAAAGCTGAACACTATACTGCTTATGTGTATCACAAGTAATGGTTGGAATATATTTGATGTATTTTGACATTTGCTTTATAAATGGGAGATCCTAATATTCACATCAAGGATTCTCGCGCTTGGCTGCATTTTGTACTGTTCGCCTCACTCCAGATGTTGAATCACCCCCTTGACACTCCATTCATCCAACCTTGTATGTCTATCAGAAGCCCCTAATTTAAAACAAGTTAAATGTTGTTATAATGTTACTACCTTTAGACAGTTAATGTCATGGAAGTTGGCAAACATATATAAGGAGGCAGGATGAGAGTAATGGCTACCTAGGAGAAATACAGTTATCCAATCTTAGATTCCTTTCAGATTTGACAAGCAGGCCTGGTGGCCTAGGCTCCCAATCCTAACTACCCAAGAGAATGAAGCAGACCAATCTCAAGGTCAGGGTCTTTTTGGGCTATAGAGTGAATTCAAGGCCAACCTGGATAACTTACCAGGTCCCTGTCTCTTGACTAAAAAATGAAGAAAGAGAGAGGAATAAAAAAGGGGTGGGGGGTTTTGTGTTGGGATTGGCTGTAGGTGATACTCTGGTTTACAGCACTCTTCTTTCTGAAGACAGAGTCAATTTCCCTTACTGCTGCCAGCAGGTTCCAGTATTCAGTATCCCACTCATCCTCACTGTTGGGTAGCTGACAGGGCCAGTGCACAGAATGACCAGCTAGGTTCAGGCATGCACCGTCCGTGCAGCTCCAGAAGGCAGCAGAGGAGAAGCGAAGCCAGATTTGCTTTAGGAAAAAGTCAATCATGCCAGCTGGGTGTCCCTCTTTCTTCAGTTGGCCAGATTGATAGTCAAAGGGGTCACACCATTTTCGCCCTGTGTCCCCTGCTGCTCTGCTCACTTTCCATCCTCACTTCCATCTGGAGGACGAGGTATGTAAAGTGCAGCGTGCCACATTTAATAAGCTCACCCCCTTTCAGCTGGATCGTCGGCACCTGTGTATATTAGCACACTGAAGACAATAATGTGATATCTTCCCTGTCATGTATTGATTGGCTTCCTGGGCATGACACTTGCTAAGAATGCCACACGCTCAGATAACAGGTGCAGTCAATTCACTGTGACTTTCCCTATCTCCTCCCACACAGACTGAAAAAACCAAACCACTGGATAGTATTAGATATTAGTCTAGCAATACCATGTGTGTAGCATGCACCACGGAAATATAAGAGTCGGTGTTCTTATCAAATTGTAGCAAGGAATTCTGGAGCCTGTCATTAATTTTCTTGATCTCTTAGATTGTAATCTTTATTGCTAAATTGAGTTGGGGAAATATTAAGCTCCGGTCAGAGGGAAGCATGTACCGCTGACTTAGAGTCACGGAAGCATGTTTGTACAGAGCTACAGCGTGAGACCGTTAGCAGCACTGGGAGGAGGAAATGCAGGGTGGGACTTTAATAATCATGTTTCTGTGGAACCACAATGAAGGTACATTAATTACGGCTAGGCAATGGGTGTATTTGGCGTTTGTTATGCTATCCTGTCTTCTCTGTGTATGTTTCTAGGGAAAACACCCAATTAGTTTTCAAAATGGCTTTCTTATGAAATTTGATACGTGTCTCAAGAAGGACAGGAGAAAATCATATTTTATGTGCCCTAGATGTATAATAATGATAAACTAGATTTCCAACACTTTGAATTAAAGAGTAGACACTATAACATCTTCTGGGGGAGGAGAGGGTATGAGACCAGGTCTCACTCATGTCAACTAGACCAGCCTTGAAGTCAGTGTGTAACCGAGAATTGTGTTAACTACTGACCCTCCAGCTTAGCCCTGGAATCATAGGCGTGTTCATCCTCTCTGCCTCTCCCAATCTGTAATTTTCTTTGTTTCAGACTCTTTTTTTTTAAATTGCTTAAATTTAGCCCTTCCTAGTTCTGTCTAGGTCCTTCCCATAAGCCCACAGCCTAACATAGAGCCAGGCACAATGAAACAGAGCACGAAGAATTAACTTCAAGAAAATATAAAGTAATTTTTCTTTCAATTTGAGTGTATCTTACAGATCATAAAGACAGAAGCATGTAAGAAGCTTTTTCTGTCCTGAATAGATTATAAATTAGCATCCTTTCTGGTTGTTTCAGCCAGGAGAACAATGTCTAAGGACTCTGGTCTGGGATAGACGCTGTCTGCATTTGCTTTTGTGCCTTCCATGAGCCATATCTCTGCCTTTAAACCTTCCAGACTAATAGAGT